TCCTTATATGTATATAGCAAAAACTTAAAAAAATCTTCTTTGAAAAAACCCAAATAGCTGGAGTTAAGATATTAAGCATGAAACATCTTCTAGTGAGTGTCTACAAAGTTTGTTCAAATAAAAGCCCTGGGGTCAAAATTGGCCCCTCCCCAGGGGTGTCATTGGTTTTAACTATATGTGTATAGTAAAAACTTAAAAAAATCTTCTTTTAAAAAAAACCCAATGAGCTAGAGCTTAGATGTTTAGCATGAAACATCTTCTTATGGGTGTCTACCAAGTTTGTTCAAATAAAAGCCCTTGGGTTAAAATTGGCCCTGCCAAGGGGGGGGGGGGGGGCGGAAGGAGGGGGTAGATTGTTGTTTCTCATTATATGTGTGTAGTAAAAACTTAATATCGTGAAACATCTTGTAATGGGTGTCTTCCAAGTTTGTTCAAATAAAAGCTTGGGATTTAAACTGACCCCGCTCCGGGTGCCTTTATACAGGTGAGCGACCTCAGGGCCATCATGGCCCTCTTGTTTAATATTCCTGAGACATTTGAATAAATATTCCTGGGATATTTGAATATTCCTGAAATATTTGAATTTTCCTGATATATTTGAAAAATTCCTTTGATATTTGAATATTACTAAAATATTTGAATTTTCCTGATAATTATTTAAATATTCCTGATATATTTGAATATACCTGAAATATTTGAACATAATACTTGATATTCAAATCTGGAAAACTACAAGACTGTTTTGGTATGAACATTACTTTGAAACATGTTGTTTTCCTCTCCCATTTATTTCTATATTCCTACTTTGAAACATGTATATAGATATCTGTGGCCGAGGGGGCATCCGTGGCCGAGTGGTTATGGTCGTTGACTTCAATCACTTGCCCCTCACCGTTGTGGGTTTGAATCCCTACAGGGACTTTGGATTCTTTCATGAGAGGAAGCTATCCTGCTAGCTTACGGAACTTCGGTGGTTCTACTCAGGTGCCCGTTTGTGCCTGAAAAAATGCACGGAGGGGCACCCGAGGTCTTCCTCCACCAGTTAAGCTGGAATGTCGCCAAATGACCTATACTGTGTCTGTGTGACGTAAAACCCAAATAAAAAAAAAAAAAATAAAAAAATCTGTAGCCGAGTGGTTGAGGCCGTTCACTTTAAGCCGCTTGCTCCTAACTGCTGTTACTGTGGCGGACTTCAGATCTTTCATGTAAGGAAGCTATCCATAGCCAAATGACCTATTCTGTGTTGGTGCACGTTAAAAATCCAACAGGAAAGAGAAAAAAGGAAAAGTGTATTATGTTATGTAAACTGCTATCCTTACTGATAAAGTAATATGACAGTGTATGAAGCTTAAGGTTATAAGTTTGAATCTAACTCAAACCACAGATATCTTTACATCATGACTGTGATTTTCATTAAAATTATTATTATAGAATATACTGTAGGCGAAACATGACAATATATAATAATATTATGGGAATAAACAAGCAAGAAATATATTAAGAAAGTATACATGTATGCAATGAAATTAGTAGAAAAAGAGTAATATTTATTAAGACACCAAAAATAAAATGAATTATTCATCCATTCACCATGCAATCATTAAAAATATCGTCAAAGTGAAAATTATGAATAAAAAATTATCTGGATCATTGATTTAAACCTTCAAGATGTGAGTTCTGTACTTGCCACTATTTTTAAAGGCCATCGTTTCATGCTCCATTACTATAACTTAAGTGACATTATATGTCTTTCCAAGTGTATAATAATTATTGGTCAATGAACAAGTATAAATAACAATTACTTGATGGTGTTTTTATTTTACTCTGAAAAAAAAAAGGATTAATAATTCATAAGACTAACGGAAATGTCTATACATAAAGTTTAGAATGTATTGGTTACACTAAAATTCTCAAAAGAATTTTAAATGGGATAGTCTCCTATAATGTAAGTAGTTTTATATTGTATCATTATCAATTATTGTTCAATTACCATTTTAATACCTATAATCTTTTGCAATATATTACTGAACTTATTCAACTCAACTTGACAGTGAAAAAACGAGCCTGAATGATGTCATTTGAAGGTAAACTTTTAGAATTGAAAACGGTACTTTTATGAATCACATATGTTTTGGTTGTAAAAACTTAATGTGGAAACTGATGAAAAAATTCCTTATGTTAGCTAAACGGTGTTCAGTCAATATTGTCAAACTATAATTACCACCATGATCATATTTAGTATGCCAGATTCTATAAGTATTTGTATATTGTTTTACAAACACCTAGCTTGTCTTGTGTATAATTTTTTTAATCACATGGTTGAACTCTTGCCCAATTTTTAGCAGACTTCCAACTACATTGAATGCCTACTTGTATCAGAAAATGCATTGCCTTGATAAACCAAAACAGATCTATATTAGTGTAATTTCAAATCAATTATTCACAACTTTTGTGCAGCTGAGTTCCCTGAGATAAAAGTGCTTGACATTTAAATTTCTCTCATTGGTGTCATACATAAGCAAAAGTATTAATATTTGACAGTTCTCGGAAAAGAGCCCAAATGGAAACTATTGATTGTACTTCATCAATTCATATCTTTTTAAAGCCGCTCTCATTCAGATGGTAAATTTAACGGAAAAAAAAATGAAATAAAATTTCAAGTAAATGGTAAATTCTTTTCTCAAGTTAGGTTTCATGTGTAAATCCATTATTACTGACATCCTAATTCAAGACAGGGTGTCAATATATGGTGTTTCTTCTTTGCATTACCTACTGTGTTAGTTACACAGTAGTCAATATAAACAGGAGAGATATCTTGTCCAACATGGTCACATATCACAACAGTGGTTCGGAAAAATCCCGAGATCCGGTACTCGCGGGGTTGTATTTCAATTTTTGTTAATGAGTAGGCCCAAATTATATTTCAAGCTAAACTTTAAATTGATATACTGGTCATCATATATTTGATATATATAATTAATCAATTATAGCTTTTAATGCCACAAATTACTACACATTTCATAACCCCAGCAGTTAATACTTTTCCCTCTATGTTTTATACAATCCCCAGTTTCGTGCATTCTGGATCTTGGATCACAGATCGTGAAATGGTCCGGTACCATCACATGGTACTTGAAAAAAATTGGGATGAAAGAATTCTGTAGTATAATAAAAGAAGGTAATTATCCCGTTGGCGGAAAAGGGAACTGTCTGTTTTAAGAGCAAACAACATTAAAATATGAACATTTTAAAGTGTCATTTCGATTTCTTTCAACTAAATAATATTTCAAGCCCAGTAATGTAAAAAAAAACCTTACTGGAGTCCCTTTAAAACTGCACCCACACTTTGTTCTGTTACATTGTTATTTTCAATGTCAAATTCTAAAAAGTTAATGATGTCTGTAATATCTGCCTGAATACTATTTGTATAAATCAATATATAAAGCATGCAGAAGGTATGAAAACTATTTCTCCAGAAGAAGAAATTTATTAAGTTACCATTATCTTGTGACTGTAAATGAAAATTTGCAATGGACTTGGCTTTTAATTTGTGAGTGCCAATTATTAGCAAAAATTTTTTCAGTAACTAAAATAAAGTACTTAATTGAGGCAGGGAGCATTATGTGAGGCTGGTATGGCTTTAATACTAATTAATGACATTAATCGTTGAAAGTTTATGTAACAAGTTGACTCCACCAGTTATGACAATGTCTTTCCTTCCACCAATAATGACAATGCCTTTCCTTCCACCAGTTATGACAATGTCTAATCCTCCTCCAGTAATTAACATGGCATCCCCTAACCTGTTATCACAAGGTATCCCCCTACACCACTAATGACAATGCCTTTCCTTCCACCAGTTATGACAATGTCTTACCCTCCACCAGTAATGACAATGTCTTACCCCCCACCAGTAATGACAATGTCTTTCCTTCCACCAGTTTTGACAATGTCTTACCCCCCACCAGTAATGACAACGTTTTTCCATCCACCAGTAATGACAATGCCTTTCCTTCCACCAGTAATGACAATGTCTTACCCTCCACCAGTAATGACAATGTCTTACCCCCCACCAGTAATGACAATGTCTTTCCTTCCACCAGTTTTGACAATGTCTTACCCCCACCAGTAATGACAACGTTTTTCCATCCACCAGTTATGACAATGCCTTTCCTTCCACCAGTTATGACAATGTCTTTCCTTCCACCAGTTATGACAATGTCTTACCCCCCACCAGTAATGACAATGTCTTTCCTTACACCATTTATGACAATGTCTTTCCTTCCACCAGTAATGACAATGTCTTTCCTTCCACCATTTATGACAATGTCTTTCCTTCCACCAGTTATGACAATGTCCTTCCATCCTTCAGTTATGACAATGTCTTTCCTTCCACCAGTAATGACAATGTCTTTCCTTCCACCAGTTATGACAATGTCTTTACCCTCCACCAATTATGACAATGTCTTTCCCTCCACCAATTATGACAATGTCTTACCCTCCACCAGTAATGACAATGTCTTACCCTCCACCAGTTATGACAATGTCTTTCCTTCCACCAGTTTTGACAATGTCTTACCCTCCACCAGTAATGACAATGTCTTTACCCTCCACCAGTAATGACAATGTCTTACCCTCCACCAGTTATGACAATGTCTTACCCCCCACCAGTAATGACAACGTTTTTCCTTCCACCAGTAATGACAATGTCTTACCTTCCACCAGTAATGACAATGCCTTTCCTTCCACCAGTTATGACAATGTCTTACCCCCACCAGTAATGACAACGTTTTTCCATCCACCAGTTATGACAATGTCTTTCCTTCACCAGTTATGACAATGTCTTTCCTTCCACCAGTTATGACAATGTCTTACCCCCCACCAGTAATGACAACGTTTTTCCATCCACCAGTTATGACAATGCCTTTCCTTCCACCAGTTATGACAATGTCTTTCCTTCCACCAGTTATGACAATGTCTTACCCCCACCAGTAATGACAATGTCTTTCCTTCCACCATTTATGACAATGTCTTTCCTTCCACCAGTAATGACAATGTCTTACCTTCCACCAGTTATGACAATGTCTTACCCTCCACCACTAATGACAATGCCTTTCCTTCCACCAGTTATGACAATGTCTTACCCTCCACCAGTAATGACAATGTCTTACCCCCCACCAGTAATGACAATGTTTTTCCATCCACCATTTATGACAATGTCTTTCCTTCCACCAGTTTTGACAATGTCTTTCCTTCCACCAGTAATGACAATGTCCTTCCATCCTTCAGTTATGACAATGTCTTTCCTTCCACCAGTAATGACAATGTCTTACCCTCCACCACTAATGACAATGCCTTTCCTTCCACCAGTTATGACAATGTCTTACCCTCCACCAGTAATGACAATGTCTTACCCCCCACCAGTAATGACAATGTCTTACCCCCCACCAGTAATGACAATGTTTTTCCATCCACCATTTATGACAATGTCTTTCCTTCCACCAGTTTTGACAATGTCTTTCCTTCCACCAGTAATGACAATGTCCTTCCATCCTTCAGTTATGACAATGTCTTTCCATCCACCAGTAATGACAATGTCTTTCCTTCCACCAGTAATGACAATGTCTTTCCTTCCACCAGTTATGACAATGTTTTTCCATCCACCAGTTATGACAATGTTTTTCCTTCCACCAGTAATGACAATGTCTTTCCTTCCACCAGTAATGACAATGCCTTTCCTCCACCAGTAATGACAATGTCTTTCCATCCACCAGTTATGACAATGTTTTTCAATCCACCAGTTATGACAATGTCTTTCCTTCCACCAGTAATGACAATGTTTTTCCTTCCACCAGTTATGACAATGTCTTACCCTCCACCAGTAATGACAATGTTCTTCCATCCACCAGTTATGACAATGTCTTTCCTTCCACCAGTAATGGCAAAGTCTTTCCTTCCACCAGTAATGACAATGTCTTTCCTTCCACCAGTTATGACAATGTCTTACCCCCACCAGTAATTACAATGTTTTTCCATCCACCATTTATGACAATGTCTTTCCTTCCACCAGTTTTGACAATGTCTTTTCCTTCCACCAGTAATGACAATGTCTTTCCTTCCACCAGTTATAACAATGTCTTTCCTTCCACCAGTAATGACAATGTCTTTCCTTCCACCAGTAATGACAATGCCTTTCCTTCCACCAGTTATGACAATGTCTTACCCCCACCAGTAATGACAACGTTTTTCCATCCACCAGTTATGACAATGTCTTTCCTTCCTTCAGTTTTGACAATGTCTTTCCTTCCACCAGTAATGACAATGTCTTTCCTTCCACCAGTAATGACAACGTCTTACCCCCCACCAGTAATGACAATGTCCTTCCATCCTTCAGTTATGACAATGTCTTTCCTTCCACCAGTAATGACAATGTCTTTCCTTCCACCAGTAATGACAATGCCTTTCCTTCCACCAGTTATGACAATGTCTTACCCCCCACCAGTAATGACAACGTTTTTCCATCCACCAGTTATGACAATGTCTTTCCTTCCTTCAGTTATGACAATGTCTTTCCTTCCACCAGTAATGACAATGTCTTTCCTTCCACCAGTAATGACAAGTCTTACCCCCCACCAGTTATGACAATGTCCTTCCATCCTTCAGTTATGACAATGTCTTTCCTTCCACCAGTAATGACAATGTCTTTCCTTCCACCAGTAATGACAATGCCTTTCCTTCCACCAGTTATGACAATGTCTTACCCCCACCAGTAATGACAACGTTTTTCCATCCACCAGTTATGACAATGTCTTTCCTTCCTTCAGTTATGACAATGTCTTTCCTTCCACCAGTAATGACAATGTCTTTCCTTCCACCAGTTTTGAAATGCCTTTCCTTCCACCAGTTATGACAATGTCTTACCCCCCACCAGTAATGACAACGTTTTTCCATCCACCAGTTATGACAGTGTCTTTCCTTCCACCAGTTATGACAGTGCCTTTCCTTCCACCAGTAATGGCAATGTCTTTCCTACCACCAGTTATGACAATGTCTTACCCTCCACCAGTTATGACAATGTCTTACCCTCCACCAGTAATGACAATGCCTTTCCTTCCACCAGTAATGACAATGTCTTACCCCCACCAGTTATGACAATGTCTTACCCTCCACCAGTAATGACAATGTCTTACCCTCCACCAGTAATGACAATGTCTTACCCTCCACCAGTAATGACAATGTCTTTCCTTCAACCAGTTATGACAATGTCTTACCCTCCACCAGTAATGACAATGTCCTTCCATCCACCAGTTATGACAATGTCTTTCCTTCCACCAGTTTTGACAATGTCTTTCCTTCCACCAGGAATGACAATGTCTTTCCTTCCACCAGTAATTAACATGGTATCCCCCTCCAACAGTTATGACAAGGTATCACCCTACACCAGGAATGGCAATGTCATTCCTTCCACCAATTATAACAATGTCTTTCCCTCCACCAATTATGACAATGTCTTTCCCTCCACCAATTATGACAATGTCTTTCCCTCCACCAATTATGACAATGTCTTTCCCTCCACCAATTATGACAATGTCTTTCCCTCCACCAATTATGACAATGTCTTTCCCTCCACCAATTATGACAATGTCTTTCCTTTCACCATTTATGACAATGTCTTACCCCCACCAGTAATGACAATGCCTTTCCTTCCACCAGTAATGACAATGCCTTTCCTTTCACCAGTTATGACAATGTCTTACCCCCACCAGTAATGACAATGCCTTTCCCTCCACCAATTATGACAATGTCTTTCCCTCCACCAGTTATGACAATGCCTTTCCTTCCACCAGTAATGACAATGTCTTTCCTTTCACCAGTTATGACAATGTCTTACCCCCCACCAGTAATGACAATGTCTTTCCTTCCACCATTTATGACAATGTCTTACCCCCCACCAGTTATGACAATGTCTTTCCCTCCACCAATTATGACAATGTCCTTCCCTCCACCAGTTATGACAATGTCTTTCCTTCCACCAATTATGACAATGTCTTTCTCTCCACCAGTTTGGACATAGTATCCTCCACCAATGTCTCTCCTTCCAACAGCTATGAAAATGTCTAGGTCTCTCCCTCTACCAGTTATGACATGGTCTCCCCCTCAATCAGTTACGACGTTGTCTCTCAAACAGTTATGGCAATGTCTCTCTCTCTCCAGTAGCTATGACATGGTCTCCTCAACCAGCCTTGACAAGGTTTTTTCCTCCACAAGTTAAACAAATATTGCAGAATCAGTAAAACTTTAAAAAAAGAAGCTCAACCAGTATGTTTGTTAAATGAATCGTAAGAAAGGAAATAATTTTGTACATAAACAACACTTTTAGAAATAAGCGTAAACTTTGTCTGCAAGTAGAAGCAGACATATAAACGTTACTGAGAACAGACTAGACTGTTCAAATTGGTGCCTATTTGTGTCAATATAATGACCATGAACGGTTAGGTTCTTCATAGACATTGAGAAAATGTAATTGACAGCAAGTCAGTGTGATTATCTGGAATCTTGAGTAATGACTTTTTTATACAGTCACTAATGACCAGAAAACATTGGGTAACTTGTGTTTCTCGTTGACACATAACTTTTCTGCACATGGATATTAATCGGTTGTTTTGTTAGATGCTGATCTTATTTTTTGGTATATTTATTGTAAGCTGACTAAAAAATTTCTGTACTCGGATCTTAATTTTTTTTTGTGTGTCTGAAAATTTGTCATTTAACATTGTTATTTTAAGGCAAGATTTTGATTATTTAATTTCCTAATAAATTGTACAATTAGAAGTTATATTTTCTGTAACAGAAATTCAATCATGAAAGGGACTCCACTGAGGTTTAAAAGTCTAAAAATCATATCATTTGAATTTATTACATACATGTAAATGAGATGGGGCACTTTAAACATAAATATATGCAAAGATATAGTTAAGAAATATACTTTGAAATAAATTGAAAATCATATTTTTATGCTTTTCTTAGTCCGATTTGAGTGAAAAGCGTATAAACGCTTTTCATTTTGGGTCATTTTTATACAATTTGAATAATTATTCTGGAAAAACGAAGTGCGCGAATGATCTGAAATTTTGCACAAAGATTAGTGGTCTAAACCTACATCAAATTGTACATTTATCTGGAAAAAATATTTTTAGTCCCATCATGTCAGAAAACCTCAGTGGAGTCCCTTGAAGGCAAGTGAAATTTTTTTTTTCATAATCCATATATTAACTTTCATTACAGAAAATGCAGCTATTTAAAGAATTATTTTCTCAGTCTCATCTTTTGCAGCACATAAATTGAAATTCCAACTTCTGTGATTATAAGTTTCCTATTGAAAACTGGTATACAGTTATTGGTAAAGGAAATCACAATATGTGCAGTGTTTTCAGTAATATATTTAACGTATTTTCTGATTGAAATACCATATTAATTATACATAAGATAGTATATGTTTTTTTAAGGTTCAAAATTGTTATAAAATGCCGAAATATTAAGATGATGAAGATTAAGTTTAATTATTGGTAAAAAGGTAAGAACTTTATAAAAAATATGTCATAATTAACATCTAAAGTTTCAATTGCAAGTTATTTTATTATATACCGGTACTTGTATTTATAAATGAAATATTGAGAAATATTGATGAAATAAAACATGTATTTTCATTTTGCATATTTTCACTGTAAAAATGACACTTAAAATTTAGTCAATAAACAAAATTTAAAGGAAAGTCTTTCAAATTGTAATATCAAAAAAGAGAAAAATTCATTTTATTTTTCCAATAAATAAAGGATTTATTATGAAAATAGATATTTCATGAGTGGCGATATTCTATAATATAGACAATTGGTATGTTTCTTATTTTATCTACATGTTGTTTAAGTCTTGTTGTTATGGTGTTATGGTGTAACAAGATGAGGGATTGATGTTGTACAGTGTCGGGCTAGAGAATAATCACTGCAGCATTTGGTTAAATCCCCTGATAGAAATATTAGGTGATAAATAAAGTTGGTGTGCAATTGTACTCGTATGAATTCTCTTCACCAGGAAAAGAATTGGAAAAGACAAAGAAGAAGAAACTTTGTAGTTATTGTAATCACAAAGAAACTTTAAGTGAGAGTGTTTTGTGTTGTTAGTAGGGGAGAGACTTAGTGCAGGAATTAATTGCATTTTATTCCAACTCAGTGATAAGGAAAAAAAAAACATTGAAAGAAAATAAAAAATGAGAAAAAAATAATTAGTATGTTGTTTGTATAATTGCAGGTTTTTGAAGGAGGAATGTGAGAGATAAATTGATAAAACAGCAATGAAGTACTGGCAGTATGTGACGGGACTGCTCGTGTTGTGGTTGCTGGTCATCATATACATGAGTAATACTGTGTTCCCTAATGCCAGTGACACAAACTTCAATGCCGAGCGCCAGTTACAGCGTGCCATGGAGGAATTGCAGAAACTTCGCGATCAGAACATCGAACTTCACGCCCTCGCCTCAGAAATAAAGTATGTCATTTTGTTTTGTGTATATACAATAGAATGTTGTATTTAAAGCAGCATTTATTTCTAGTCAATGAACTAAAAAAAACTGCTAAATAATTCAATTTTACTTACTTAAGAGAAGACAATTTTGTATTTCTGGCATTTTTACTTGGCAATTTCGAGGAGAAATATAAAGGCCAAAGTTTACACATAAAATTAATGTAATATACTTCAAATGGGATGCAGTCAGACAGTGTATGTATGAAACAACAAGTTGATGGATGATAAATAGGGTAATCCATACCTTTTACATGATATCAACTTTGATAAAACTCAATTAATTTTGGAGAAAATAACAAATGGATCTGTCTAGTCTCCCTAATTATTGTAGCAGAGATGCTTTGGGCATCATAAAATCAGTCGAATAGTCCATATTGAATTTACTTTTATTTTAAATGATAACTCAGAAATGGTATTTCTAGTCTGACGCGTTAACCATTTCGTTCAAGACACCGCTAAGATATTTCATCTTAAAAATTAAAGGAATAAGAAAAGTACATAAGAAAAGTACATTAAATTACATATACAGACATGACTTTTTCACATACTGAATGTGGAGGTTACCCTATGATCTTGAAAAGATGTCATCTTTTTTTTCTTCCATTTAAGTCTGTTGGCATGCGGAATTTTAAAATTGATAGTTGGATTTGTCCTGCCTTTATACGCTTATATGCTGCAGTATATATATTATAATCAGCAAATATATATATTTTGTTGTGAGGGTGGGGGGACGGGTTTGGGTGAGCCAAGACCCCGGAAGTGTTCTAACAAGTAGTAGTTTTCTTTAAGTATTTCATGTTTGAAAGTTGTCATATACCACCTGTACTTTTATATTGCTGTGAAATCTGGGGATTTGGAAATTTAGACATTGTTGAAAGACTGCAACTTAAGTTTTTAAAACATATTTTATGTCTAAAATAAAATACTTCTAATATAATTGTGTATGGTGAAACTGGTATCAAACCGTTATCAATAGAAATTAAAGCAAGGATGATTTCATTTTAGGCAAAACTAATTGTAACAAATTACAAAAAGCTTTTACAACAAAAATATATGCAGTTGCATTGAGTAATTTTAAAAATAGTCACTCAAATTTCAATTTCAAATGGATAACTTGCATAAAAGATATTTTTTATAGAAAGTGGAATGGCTAATATTTGGATGAGTCATGAATTTCCCAACGTAATTGGCTGGTTAAATCAGTTAAACAAAAATTATCAGATATATTCATAAATCAGTGGTACTCGGGTCTAGAAAACACATCTAATTGCAAAAGTTATTGTATTTTTAAAAGAAAATTTGAAATTGAGAAAATACCTTAGTGAAACACCTTCCAAATATTTTAAATATATGATCAAATTCAGAACCAGAAATCATAAACTACCGTTCGGAACTGGAAATTGGCATAGGATCCCTTTAGAAAGAAAAAATGCACTCTCTGCACTCATAACAAAGTTGACGAATTTCATTTTCTATTAGAATGCCCAAATCTTTATACGGTTAGAAAAAAAATCTTTGCATGTTTATAAAAAAAATCTTAGAAAAATATTGAACAGAATTATTATATTAAACTTTGATAAATATTTTTGAAATAACTTGATAAATAATTTTGAAATAATTCATTTTATTTTGTATGAATGTTAAACTTTCTCCTGTCTATGTTAAAAGAATATTGTAAGATGTGTGAGTTACATACTATTAAAAAAAAAAATTAAAAAAAAATGTATATTCATGCATATTCTATAACTCTGTGTTGCAAAAGACATATTATACATTTGGTTATTTTGAAAAGGAAAGCGTGTGTTTTTATTGCACAGATTGTATTAAGACTATAATAAAGATTTTTTTTAAATGATATGTTATTCACAATTGTATGTGCATTTTTTTATACATTTACATTGATATTGTGACATGTTGACAGATTTAGAAAATAGATATAATTTGGATTTTTCCCTCAATTTTTTTTTTAAACAAGCAATGTACACAGGAAGTTTGTTACTATGTTTGACATGTTACGCAAATAACTTGTGTTGAATATGCAACTAGGTCTAAAAACTTGTATTTTTTCTGTTAAAAATGACTGTATAATTATACTTGTAATTTCATCAGAAAACTTACAAGTTTAAATAATAATAAAGCTGCTTATTAGGTCCTGTGCAGAATAAACTTTTATCTAGTGTTCTATTTTCAACACTTAACTACCAGTAATTCTTTGCTTACATACATAAAATATTATTATAAGGTGTAAAACAGAAAATGAAAAAAAAGTTATTTTCTAATTATAAACTAGATCTATATTCTGAAATATTCTGCCATTAAATAAAAGTTTAAATTTCTTAATATTAATTATACGATTCTGGTGAGTTTCTTTACATTTTCCTGATAATAAATCATCACCCCAAAGAATGTTTGTGGCCGTCTGAGCAAATTTGTGAAAGTTGTCTATGTAAGCACTCTTTCATATTGAATTTGTCATAAGTATGGTCCCCATTGTGAACAATGTTTGATCTCAATAACTCTTGTCAACATTTGAGTGACAGTTAAATTATTGTATTATCTAGTCTGCAATATTGCTGTGTATGGTTGCCATGGTTTTACAATAGCAGCAATTCAAGGGACCTGAATAGAAGTTGAATAATTTTCTCTTATATAACATGGCCTTTTGTTAGATTAAATGTAATAAAGAAATATTGCAATGTTCATTTCACACTTTCTTTGGTACGAAAATGTCATATCCAGTGCAAATATTGTTCTGTTTACCATCCTCATTGATTTGATGTAATGAATAATAGTAATACAAGATACATTAGGCTGTCATATGACCACCTGAAAAGTCAAGTTCACCTTGTCAATAAAAATCAGGTCAAGGTCACAGTGGAGGTCTCATTGAACAATTACAAGAGTTTGGAATAAGATATTACATGTATAACAAATTTAGTATAAAGCAAGCTTTTATAGAGACTTTGGTTGGGATTGTAATTAATATAAACACAGTTTAAAGGTCAAGTTCAAATTTTGCTTCTGACCACTTATTTTTCAAAAAGTCTTTGTTGCTGGTAGGGGTATTAATCACCTTTAGTGATAGCTCTTGTTTTTACATGATAATGTAATATTGGTGGTAAACTTGTTTTATTTTGGAGGGAATTTCCTGTCACTCAATGTATTAATTGTTTCTTTACCCCATTTTGCTTTTATTGAACAGAAACAAGAAAGAAGAAAGAAAAAAACAAACTCAACCATAATGCTTTCTTATAATCAAAGAAGTTGTATAAATTAAGCCACCAATCAGTTCACAAAATGCCTGATTCTTTGGTTCGGATACAGAATGTCATCTTAAATCTTTTCAGCATTTAGCCAAGCTTTGTTTATGGAGGCTTTAATTGAAACTCTCAGGAATCAAAGCTCTTTGATGTCATTTTTGATGGATTGCGTACAGAACTCTCTGCGGTTTAATATTTACAATAAACAAATTGTAAAAAGCTTTTTTTAGACAATAATTATGTGCAGCTAGAATAAGTTTTCAAACATGGAAATGTTTTTCAAGAATCATGTTATACAAGTAAGCCTGCTATTAGCAAATAAGTGGCCCATGAAAAAATAAAAAAATAAATTGCTGTAGGCTATGAAAAAGGGAACATAATGAAAATTCATGGATCATTTATTTATGTTTGAATTCCTTTTTGACTTAGCATACTGTTACTCACAGTTTAAAGAAAATATGTGGAGGACCACATTTAGGCAATGCTTAACTTGCCAAATTATGAAAAAATCTAAGTTTTGGGTTTGTAGTTTATGGATATAAGAATCATTAATTGTCAATCATTATGTGTGCTACTTTACTTTAAGCAAAGAAAAATTTTGTTATAATGTGTCTTTGATAGCAGTTGTCAGTCTACTTTATATACCAGGATTTAAAATGTTTGTGCCTAAAGTTATTTAATGATATAAAGTAAAGAAGTTTGTCTCCAGTTTGATTTTATCCATCATTGCATTAATATCTACACTGAAGTGCCGCTTTTCCCTGAGCAGCAAACATTTTTATGCAAATTCAGTCAATGATTTCACATTAATTCAGAAAGGAGGAAAGTGTTGACCATAAAAAAAGCCATTGTCTATATAAAAAAGTGTTGTCTTGATGTTTTCATCAAGTAGATAATTGCTGTTCAAAGGTTGTATTTATAGAGCTTTTGCGCCTTAGTGGTACAATTTGCAGATCAATATAGAAAATAGATATATTTATAATCTGTATACTAGTTAGTTATAGATAAAACAGCAGATGTAAGATATCTTCCTAGACTTGGATATCATTGATATCATCGATAATTAACACATGACTTCCTTGTTGTCTCAATGGAATATAACCATTACATATTTTCTTTATATTATTTCTCGAAAAGAAGATATCCCTTGAGAGTATGGAAATAAATAGGTGAAAATTACAGAGTCTGTTTATGTCAGAGATAAGGAAGTGTGCAACATTTCTGAATATGCCCTCTTAATTGCACAATGTTCAATCTTCAGCACTAAAAGTGTTTTAATTCAGAAAAAAATATCACAAACACTTTTATTGATTATCAAAATAATGTCATGAATCCAGTTTATTGCCAATGCAGGACGTCATTTTAAAAAATGGTTGTTGTGCAGTTTTCAAAATTTACAGTATCATTTGATAAAAAGAATCTTTTAGATTTTCATGTTTTATTATGCATGCCACTGAGGCTTGTTTAATAACTTTTTTCCTAGACTCACATTTGATTTTAGCCAATTCTTTCTGTATGAAATAATAACTTGATGCAAGATGTTATAATAAAGCTATAATTGTTGCTTTATTTGTAATTATGTGATGGTCAGAAAATAAATTTTTGACTTGAAAGTTTTTATGAAATTCTAAATTTTTAGGTATCGTGAATTGTGTCTTGTTTAAATCTGTTAATTATGCTGCCAAAAATGACTTGCCTATCCATATAACAGTAAAGAGTCAGTAAGACTCTACATCTGACAGACAGTCTTATTGTACTGAGTCACCTGCTTATTATAATTGTTAGTATTTTAGTTTTAAATTATGCCTTGAACAAACATTTAGAGATCCCTGAGCTTTAAACTTGGACAAGGATATAATATTTTTTAGAGACTCTAAGGATTTTCATTGGTCAGTGCACATTTTGTGCTGATTTCTGACCAATCATAATTCATATACCGGAGATCTGAATTTGAGCTTGGAAAATTATCTTTTTAACCTCAGACCCATGACCTTTGCGATACTATGTTTTGTCTGTGATAATTTTATTTTTTAAACATTACAATGTGATCATCTCTGAATTTGAATATTTTGATATTACAGAGATTTAAAGTTTGGACATGGGGTGAAGAGCACAGGTGCTGAGCTGGCAGAGCTGAAGAGTAAACTTGATAAAGCTACCATTGAACTGGAGATGTTACAAAGTAAAGGATACAAAAAGAGTGGCAACAGACTCAGAACTGGTATATTTAATATTGTAATACAATTATATTCTGTATTGTAATATATTCATGTGTATATTCATCAGGCTAGTTCTTGAACAAATTCAGGATCTTAAGTTTCTTGAAACACATTCAAGGAAATTAAACTGTGGTCTTTCTCTTGCAGGAAACTAGCCATGTGGTACTATAAATATTTTTTGTTCATACTTGAACTATCAGATAAGGAATTTGATTTGAGTATATGTTTAAAACTTCAGATTCTTTTTATACTTTAAGTTATCATATTGCTAAAATCCCATCTCAGTCCATTTCTTTCCTTTCAATTCCTCCTTTTGCATAAGTTTATCATGGTTTAGCCTGCTTGCGGCATCACCCATGCCACTAGTGCAGACTAAATCAGCCATCACATCCTTGCTGTTTGATCATGGTCTGCACTGTTCGCCTTCCAGTTAGTACATACTTTGAAATTTAGAAACTATAAATGGTTTTGTACAGACTGAAAGATGGAAAAGTCTATTTAAAGGTATGTAGAGGGTAAAAGTAAAAGACCAGTATTCTTTGTTTCAGATACCTATTGATAGTGCATGTTTCTTGTCTTTATTAAGTAATTATCATTGATATGTTATATTTTATCTTACTGAACAAGGCAAGCTGATAAAAAAACCTGAACATCTGTTGCTTCATGTTAACAAGTGCTAATAGGAAAATTATGGATATTTATATGCGATTATTTCATAAATCTACTTATATGTAAATGGGGATAGACTCCAACATTCCCTTATCACTTTTTAACGTCTTTATTGTAAAACTTTGCCTTAGCTTTTTATTGACAATGAAGTGGTGTTGTTTTTATATGTCAAAAAGTATCCTAAAATTGCAGATAGTTTTATGATAAAGTGATCGATGGTAGAATTATTTGATTAATGAAGTATGTTTAGTATCCATGGCGATTTTTTTTATCTATTTAACTATGATGCGGGCGGATCAGAATATATATACAAGCTGTTACTGATGAGGGTGACAGGTTTTTACTCTTTATAATTGCCATATCACCTCTCTAATCACACCTTATGTTGACATAAAATCTGTAGGAAAATATGTCTGTATTAACATGCTGTTTGTATATAGATTTTATAGAAATTTGATATTCTCAACCTTTAAGCAAAGACATTTTTGGCAGGGTTGCACAGGTGCAAACCCGGGTTATAGTATGGTGAATTTTGCGCGGCGGGTGGTCGGGGGAAAACTGTTTGTTATAGTTTTCTCAGCAACTTAACACAGCCTCTTGATATTTGGCACACAGCATCAACACATGGTCCCATACTGTGGGATTTTATTTCAGGTGTGCTGCTCATCCACGTCCTGTTTGCCGACTTAGTTAAATTTTCAACATTAATGGTCAATAGTAAGAAATTTTCGTAACAGTTTTCTCAACAACTACTTATCCAGCCTTTTGATATTTGGTATACAGCATCAACACATGGTCCCATACTGTGGGATTCGATTTCAGGTCTGTCGCTTATCCACTTCCTGTTTGCCGACTTAGTTAAATTTTCAACATTAATGGTCAATAGTAAGAAATTTTCGTTACAGTTTTCTCAGCAACTTCTTATCACAGCCTTTTGATATTTGGTATACAGCATTATCATGTGGTCCCATACCGTGGGATTTGATTTCAGATCTGTAGCTCATCCACTTCCTGTTTGCCGACTTAGTTAAATTTTGACATAATTAATGATCAATAGATAGTAGGAAATTTTCGTAACAGTTTTCTCAGCAACTACTTATCCCAGCCTCTTGATATTTGATATACAGCATCAACACATGGTCCCATACTGCGAGATTCGATTCAGGTTTGTCGCTCATCTACATGTACTTCCTGTTTGCCGACTTAGTTAAATTTTTAACATTAATGGTCAATGGTTGGAAATTTTTGTAACAGTTTTCTCAGCAACTACTTATCACAGCCTTTTGATATTTGGTATACAGCATCAACACATGGTCCCATACTGTGGGATTCGTTTTCAGGTCTGTCGCTTATCAACTTCCTGTTTGCCGACTTAGTTAAATTTTCAACATTAATGAACAATAGTAAGAAATTTTCGTTACAGTTTTCTCAGCAACTTCTTATCACAGCCTTTTGATATTTGGTATACAGCATTATCATATGGTCCCATACCGTGGGATTTGATTTCAGATCTGTAGCTCATCCACTTCCTGTTTGCCGACTTAGTTAAATTTTGACATAATTTATGATCAATAGATAGTAGGAAATTTTCGTAACAGTTTTCTCAGCAACTACTTACCACAGCCTCTTGATATGTGGTTCACAGCATTGACATGACTGTGGTCCCATATTGTGGGATTCCATTTCAGGTCTGATGCTCATTCTTTTCCGGTTTACCAACTAAGTTAAATTTTCAACATCAGTGGTCAGACAGTGGTAGAAAATTTAAGTAACGTCATCATAGCCTCATGATATTTTGTATACATATGCAACTTTTTGTTTGTTTGTTTGAAACTTCCCAAGAAAGTCTTTTATGAGGACAATCTATACAGCTAGCTTGTGCCAGAAATAATACATTAAGTGGTAACCAAGTCACATTAAGTGGTAACCAAGTCAGAAATAAAACATCAAGTGGTAACGAAGTCAGACATTATACATCAAGTGGTAACCAAGACAGAAATAATACATCAAGCGGTAACCAAGTCAGAAATAATGCATCAAGTGGTAGTAACCAAGTCAGAAATAATACATCAATTGGTAACCAAGTTCTTCCTGAACCACTGAAGCTTTCAGATATGACGTTACATCCAACAGTTACCTATAAAAGTAAATAAAATGATAAATTTAATTTGTTGATTGGGTAAATTGTAAAATTTTATTGCTTGTTATTATATTAAGGTGTCATAAAGGTAAGTATAAAAATTCTGGATTAGTTTCAAAGTTTGAATTTCTATATCTATTCTAGTATAAAGCAATGGTACTTCTTTTTTCCCATTAGTTGACTATAATATTTATTCATGAAACAGAATCAGAATGTTTTCTTGATATATATGTTTCATGGAAAAAATTACCATAAAATCTAAAAAAAATTAATGAATTATTTATAACAATGAAGATTTGATTTATCTAAAGAATTATTTAAAATGATGAAAAATTGTAAATTCCTAGTTTTTAAGGAAAATATTTTTTTTATTGATATATAAATTTTTAAATCTTTTTATGCTTGTTTTATACTAGAAATTGTTGATCTGTATTTCCATTCTTAGTATTATGTTTGACAGAAGTTATATGAAATGTTTTCAAAGACAATAGTGTTGTGTTAAATACAAATATTTTATTCTTCAAAAGTTTTAGATTGTGTTGCTTTTCTTATTTATTATACAGTGAAATTTGAGAAAACCGGACGCTGAGAAAATCAGAACTCTCTAAATACCGGACGAATAATTCAGTCCCAAATTTTCCCTTCTTTAAACTATTGTATTAAACATTGACAATACCGGAATCTGTAAAAACCGAATATCGGACGGTTGAGAGGGGACTACAAAGTCCATTATATAGACAATTACTCTGACAATACCGGACGAAGAAGGTGTGAATAACCTTGTGTACTTATCAATTGGTTGTGTCTAATACGCTAACTGAGCGGTAACGGAACAATGATTATCTGATTTGTTAATTATGTTTCTTTTTACAGTTTGATTCATTGTAAGGTATAGATGTTACCGTTTTATATATAAATGCCAAAATGCACGAGAAATTGATAAGTTAAAATCAGTATGAATGAAAAATAGAATATTATTATACTGCATTGTTTTTTGTATATTCATTTCCCAAAATGACAACGCAACGGAAAGGACATTTATCAGCGCTAAGTTCTATTCCATGGCCTAAAAGAATTTGACGAGAGCTGTCTATAAGTGACAAATCTAAATTAGTTAAGACAGTGAAACTTTGTCGAGACCTACTTTAAAAATATCTATCTGATAAATGTGGTATAGGCAATATTTACAATTGGGGCATTATTATAAACAAACAAAGTAAACTATGTTCGTTAAGTCATTATCCATTACCCAAATGTAAACATATGCGGGTGTAATCGGACTTTATCGTTATGAGGTAACTGCTGTTCGTTTAAATCCAAAATTTTATTGTATTTATATGCAATAATGGGACAAAAACAATTAAAACATATTGTATAGTATTTTTATCATTTCTTTTTTAAGCAATATACTTACTCATGATCATTTAAATGCAAATATACGTTCAGCATCCTTTGTAAAGTATTGCTCGGTGAATAGCTGAAGGGGACATTGAGAATACCAGACCGCTGAGAAAACCGGACAAATTTACCCTTGGTCCGAAAGCTGTCCGGTTTTGTCAACTTTCACTGTATTTGTTTTCTATCTATACTGTCTAGGGTTGGATACTGATAACCGTAATTAGACCGTAACGAAAACCGTTTCATAATTTACTGGTAAATACCGTTTCAAAAAGTACCGCTATTTTAAATGGTATTTTCAAAATTAAAACCAAAGAATATTTTCAAAAATACAAAGGAAATCAAATAAAATCAACAATTATTTACATCAATAATATCACAAAAAGAATGCGAAATGGCCATGGTCAGAAATGTTGGTAATTAATCTAAGTCGAGGGAGATCACTAACGAGTGCTTAAGGTAGCGGCCATATTCGTATTTACAAAAACCTTTACTAATAACAAGATGCATAAATTCAAATACTTGATAGGACATTTAGTGATCACTTTCTGATATATTATTCTTAAAAAGTATAGTTACGTGTTTTGCTATAAAACATTTCTGCAATTTGATTTAAAATATTCAAATTTTATGATATACATGATGTATATTATTAATTTGAATATATTAATGCAAATTGCAGAAATGTTTATACCAAAACACGTAACTATATTTTTTAAGAATAATAAATAAAAAAGTGATCAACAAATGTAGCATTAATATGTTGTTGCTTATCAAACAAAGTGTTCATTTCACTCCTAAAGACTGAGGTGGTGTTTGTATATTTTGTCAAACTTTCTGCCTGGCTAGGGTGGCAACACCAGCAAATTCTTGAAACATCTAAAACTGATAATTTAATAATAAAACAAACAAAATAAGATTCCTTTAGAGAAAATGAGTACATAATGAATAATGCTGCTGAAACAACTTAAAAAGTATTGAGTATGAGTATCGATAATTTAATACCGTATAATTTCACAAGTATCGGTATTATATCGTACGGTTTCATTCTTAATTTATTATATCCAAAACTTTGACTTGAGATATTGTATAGTGTGGTTTCCCACACTTTGACTAGTGTGGTTTCCCAAACTTTGACTTGAGATCATGTTTAATGTGATTTTCCACACTTTGTCTTGAGATCAAGTTTAATGTGATTTTCCACACTTTGTTTTGAGATCATGTTTAATGTGGTTTCCTACACTTTGACTTGAGTTCCTGTTGAGTAAGGGTTTCCACACAATACCAATAGCCATGATATTTTCCAGTATCTGGTTTCCCCAAGTACTCATTGTGCATTATAAACTTCAACATTAAGTACATATTTAATTCTTCTGGAACAGAAAAGACCAACTAGCTTTTTCCTTAGAAAATATAACATAGAATGCAAGTAACAAAATACTAAAAGGGTTGTCCGTTATGGGTTGTCATTAACGATGCAGGTTGTATGGCTTCCAGTAAGTTTGGATATCCTCTAATTAGTCCCCTACCGGTTTAACCGGAGGGGACTTTAGGTTTACCCTCCGTCCGTCTGTCCGTCTGTCTGTCTGTCCGTCTGTCTGTCCGTCTGTCTGTCTGTCTGTCAGTCCGTCAGTCCGTCCGTCCACAAAACTGGATCCCGTGATAACGCAAAAAGTACTGAAAATATTTTTATGAAACTTGATATATGGATAGATGGCAGTATGGAGATTATGCACGTCTTTTTTTTTTCTTCCTATGTTGAAAATTCTGGTTGCTATGGCAACAAATAGTCTGAAAATATGGCAAATTTAACACATAAACTGGATCCAGTGATAACTCAAAAAGTACTGAAAATATTTTTATGAAACTTGAAATATGGGTAGATGGCAGTCTGGAGGTTATGCACATCTTTTTCTTTTTTTCTTATGTTGAAAATTCTGGTTGCTATGGCAACAAATAGCCTGAATTTCAAGATTTCTGATTTAAATTTTTCAGATTTTTCACTATATGTTCTTTATTTCTTAAGGTGTTTACTTCAAACTTTAAATATAAGTTTCTGGTCATCAACCACATCATATGTGACAAGGTTTATAACTCTAGCACAAAAAATATCAGTATTACCTCCCTTGAACTTAGATTTTTTAGGGGAAAAAAATGTTGTCTTTTTTAAATAACTTCTTTATTTCCTAATGTATCTACTTCAAACTTCATATATATGTTTCTTATTATCACTCGACATTTTTGAGAAGTTTAAATACTCTAGCAAGACTATTTCCAGAATTATGTCCCCCTTGAACTTAGATTTTTTTCGAGATACTGGTATTTTCACTCCAACTTCTTCATTCCTTATAGGATTTACTTTAAAATCACACATCGTAATAATATGACAAGGTTGTATAAACATAATTTCCTTACTAAGCATGGAAACTTAACACATTACTGTGATATAGACAAACTTATTTTATTATGTTTTGTGGTCGATATTTTCAAATACAGACTTCATCCTCAAATTCATTATAAATGGCAATACACAGGAGTGTATGACAATTAAAGAACTTTTTGAGGGACCGGTAGGGGACTACTGTATTGCCCGCAATACTATCAAATGCTTGTTATTGTAGACTTAGAGATTCTTTTATTGAGGATTATGATATTTAGAATACTTGCAGTGTAGAAAGGTATAATCTGATTTACCTCTCCTACAAGCTGATTAACTTAACCTAACATAGTAATCAATATACTAATTAATCAATTGATTAATTACATAGCTAATTAGGGTGTAAAGATTTCTTTTGACATTATCTTAGTTGCCTTAAGAGACACATGTTGACCATATTTTAATAAGATTTTACTTTTATCTCAAAACATTTTATTTCAGCAGTTTAATCTCACACATTTGTCTGTATAGTCCTTAATTGCCAAATGAAACAAGAAACAAAGTTTCCATGTTTGACTGGTGTACTGGAGACAACAAAAAAGGAAGATCAATTTCATTATATAATTCTTGGTCATTATCCATAGCAGGGAAATGGGTAAAACTCCGCTATTATTGGTTGAATGGACTTGATAGTGGTTTTTTGACATGATGGGACTGGAAATAATTTTTTTTCAGATTAATGTTGCATTTGATGTAGGTCTAGACCAATAACTTGTGTGCAAAATTTCAGGTCATTAACTCACTCCATTTTTCCAGATTAATTATTCCAATTGTGAAAAAAATCACACAAAAAAAGAAAGTATTGCAATGCTTTTCACTCTAATCAGACCGAGAGTAGCAAAAAAATACAGCTATCAATGATTATAAATTTTGATTATATTTCTTAATAATTTTTTGCATATCTTTTTGATTTAAGTGCCCCAGCTGATCTATGTAAGAATTTAAAATTTCATGTTTTTAGGCTTTTGAAGGTTAGTTGAGATCCTTTAATTTCAATAAATGTGCTAAGACTGATGGAGTGTCCATGTTCAAGAATTTTTTTCATGGATAAATGAGAGTAAAAGGTTTTTGGTTTTTTCCGAAAATATATAATGACATATTGCAAGTAGGTTGTAAAACATAAGTCATCTTCTTTTCAATCTTGACAAAAATAAGTGATATTTATTCCTGATTGTATTTGCAATTTTGTAAGTCTAGACATGCCATCTGACGGCACCAAGGGACTTCTGCAACCAATTAAAAGCTGACTTTGTCTTATATAACATGTCCAGTGTTGTTGTTGTTGTCTGTGTGACAACCAAAAAATGTAAGCTTCTAAAAAGTAAGATTAAGATTTATCGGCACACTTTGATTCTCTGTTAATGTTTACTTTCAGTCAATATGAGTGTACCGAGTCTAGATCACGAGATGTCACGACGGGAGGTGGAACGTGTTTCCATGGAGTTTTGGTTGTATATACGAAGTGAGCTCAATAAACTAAAACAGAAAACTACAGAAAGTGAAATTGTCAAAGATATAAATAATGTACTGGCTGACAGCTTTGATTATCAAAAGTAAGTGTAAAAACATAGTGTGCTTCAATTATTGAAGGTATCAAGTCTATTTACAGTTTCTGTTACTTGTGAGATAATTTTTTATATATGATTATAGAGCCAAGGGTTTTAAAGTCTTATCATAATAATCTTAATGTGGTAAAAAAGAGGAGTGTTAATTAAGCAATGTTTTATCTATAATTGGCTGATAGTTAAGCATACAATCCTAGTTGTCATGACTGAGGAACTTCTCTTTTTTTAAGTTGTTCTTCACTTATTCTTCATGGCTTTAATGTCACAATTTTAAAAAAACTTCCCTCATATCTGTGGGTATAATTTCTACAAGGGATTATGGATGTCTTTGTAAAAAAGCCATTCAGCTTAACCTGTTGAATTTAAACTGAAAAACTGCTTTGTAGATTTGGGGAGACAGTTTTAAGTTTAAATTTCCCACATCAGGCATACAGGGACATTTAAGATCTTTTTCCTGCAATAAAGGTGGAAAACTATAATGTTGCAGTTACAGAATGGGTTTGACTTAAAACCAAAATAAAATATGTTCAAGAAAGATAGAGAAAAATGTTGATTTGTTTGTAAAAATCTCTTAATACAGTGTTTTTCTTCCCACATACATTTTACAGAAAATTACAGAATGATTTGTATAAACTTGGTAACACTGTAGATGGAATAGGAGCCTGGAGAGAGAAAGAGTCACAAAAATTAACAGATCTTGTTCAAAGAAGGCTTTATTATTTACAGGTAGGTTTAAAGTTATGTCCTAAAAATATATTTTTTCTTGACATATGTTTATCATATAATGAATGATGATGGCTACAAATTTTCAGGAGGTAATTATACACATAATTATCATTGTTACATGCTATCCTTACTGTACATCAACATACCACATTTTTTTCACTTAAATACAAAGGAAATTGTTCAGAAAATTGTTTAGAAAATTGTTCAGAAACCGTATTTACAGCTTTTAATTGTGGAAAAAGATATGAAAATGTCATCTGCTGACAGGAAAGTAACTAGTAACATGAAAATGTTCTCTACAGTCTATTTAAATCATATTCTCTACAATCGATTGAAATCGAAGCCTTATGTTCTAGAAGCAGCCTTTTCGTTTAATCACAGAAAGTTACAATTGAGGTTTTACATGCAAGACATGATTGATATTGTCGGAAAAGTAGTTCTCATAAACAGTGACAATAGTCCCATGTGATATTCTGTAGTGTGAAGGACTTGCATAATATATTTCTCTTTTCACAATGTATGATGACATATGATAGGATGCCGCCGAGATAGGAGAACAATATTTCCTTACAATTTTATAACAATTAGATCTCATCAACCATCTAGTATTCAATGATTATTGATATATTGATGTATTCTTTCACCACTTTTTGGTCATTTTACGATTTCACTCCACCGGGAAAGCTGGAAAGTTGCTTTATTATGACAGACACAGGGTCAATATGCCTTCACTTAAACAGCAGTAAAACCATTAAACAAAAAATCTGTATTACTGAAAATGAAATTGTTGTTAGAGTGCTTATAATATTCCACCAGTATTGAGTTAGTCTATCCTGAACTTTCATGCAGTATAATGAAACTCGATACTGGCGACTGAAACTCAAATGAGGGTATATGGTTGAATATGTATTATACAACTTTGTGTTTACAGAATCCAAAGAATTGCAAATCTGCCAAAAAGATGTTGTGTAATCTGGGTAAAGGTTGCGGGTATGGCTGCCAGTTGCACCATGTTACTTACTGTCTTCTGATGTCCTATGCCACTGAGCGCACTCTGATCCTGCAGTCAGAAGGCTGGAGGTATGCCACTAAAGGCTGGGAAACTGTGTTCCTACCACTTAGTAAAACTTGTACTTCCACTATGGGTCAACAGGCAGTCAGATGGGGGCGTAAGTTTGAATTAATAAGTTTCTTTTGTTTATACAAATTTATTTTATATGATTGTGTTGGAAGCTATAAGCTTATTGAAACACTCTCGAATCCATTCCTTAACCAACCAGTACCTAGCAATCCATGTAAAGTTTCTTGCTCAAGGAAATGATGGCTTGCCCTTGACTTGGACCAACCCTTGCGGCCAGCAATCCTAAGATTACTAATCTGTTGGTTAACCACTATAACTTTCTTTTATAAGATGGTTGGAAAAAACAAAAGAAAGCAACCATGAATAAATATGGCATATTAAAAATTCTTCTGCTTTTACTACCAGTATATGTGTAATGCTTTAAAATTGTTTTCTTTCTAAAAGACAATGGAAAATTAGAAAATGTTTGTGTTTCAAAATGATTGCACAAGATGTACTCAAATTACCAGTACTCTATGACTACACTTAAAATGAATATTTAATTGGTGTATGCATTGCTTTATTAAGTTAATTAACCACTTAATTGAATTACTGCTCAAGTTAGAGAGACTGAATTATATATAAACATCTAATTTATTTTATTGATCATTTTATTCTATTTTCTTGCTGGAAGAAATATAGGTATAATGCCAGTCATATTGTGTTGTTTTTAGCTCGACTATTCGATAAGAATAAGTAGAGCTATTGCAGTCACCCGAGCGTCGGCGTCGGCGTAACCACTTATGTTAAAGTTTTTGTAATAGTTCAAATATTTTCAAAGTCCATAGACATATGGCTTTGAAACTTTGCACACTTGTTCACCATCATGACCCCAACCTGTAGACAGGAGGAGGTAACTCTATCAAGCATTTTGACAGAATTATGCCCCTTTTTCGACTTAGAATTTACGTTAAAGTTTTTGTAATAGTTCAAATATTTTCAAAGTCCATTGACATATGGCTTTGAAACTTTGCACACTTGTTCACCATCATGACCCCAACCTGTAGACAAGAGGAGGTAACTCTATCAAGCATTTTGACAGAATTATGCCCCTTTTTCGACTTAGAATTTATGTTAAAGTTTTTGTAATAGTTCAAATATTTTTTCAAAGTCCATTGACATATGGCTTTGAAACTTTGCACACTTGTTCACCATCATGACCCCAACCTGTAGACAAGAGGAGGTAACTCTATCAAGCATTTTGAAAGAATTATGCCCCTTTTTCGACTTAGAATTTACGTTAAAGTTTTTGTAATAGTTCAAATATTTTCAAAGTCCATTGACATATGGCTTTGAAACTTTGCACACTTGTTCACCATCATGACCCCAACCTGTAGACAAGAGGAGGTAACTCTATCAAGCATTTTGACAGAATTATGCCCCTTTTTTGACTTAGAATTTACGTTAAAGTTTTTGTAATAGTTCAAATATTTTCAAAGTCCATTGACATATGGCTTTGAAACTTTGCACACTTGTTAACCATCATGACCCCAACCTGTAGACAAGAGGAGGTAACTCTATCAAGCATTTTGACAGAAGTATGCCCCTTTTTCGACTTAGAATTTACGTTAAAGTTTTTGTAATAGTTCAAATATTTTCAAAGTCCATTGACATATGGCTTTGAAACTTTGCACACTTGTTCAACATCATGACCCCAACCTGTAAACAGGAGGAGGTAACTCTATCAAGCATTTTGACAGAATTATGCCCCTTTTTTGACTTAGAATTTACGTTAAAGTTTTTGTAATAGTTCAAATATTTTGAAAGTCCATTGACATATGGGTTTGAAACTTTGCACACTTGTTCACCATCATGACCCCAACCTGTAAACAGGAGGAGGTAACTGTATCAAGCATTTTTTTTACTATCAAGCACTAAGAATAGTCGAGCGTTGCTGTCCTACCGACAGCTCTTGTTTTTTTACTAAATAGTTTATAAGAGCATTTATGGAATATTTTAAATTAAGTTTAAAGGGACTCCATTGAGGTATTTTGACATGATGGGACTGGAAATATTTTTTCCAGATGAATGTTCCATATGATTTAGGTCTAGACAAGACACTTGTATGCAAAATTTCAGCACATTCGCTTACTCCATTTTTCCAGAATAATTATTCCAATTGTGAAAAATGATCCAAATTGAAAAGCCATGCAATGCTTTTCAATCAAATTGGACTAAGACTAGCACAAAAATACGATTTTCAATTTATTTCTGAGTATATTTGTTAATAATCCTTTGCATACAGTCATTTTTTAGTGCCTAAACAGATCTATGTAAGGAATTCAAATTTTAGGAATTTAGGCTTTTGGACCTCAGTGGAGTTCCTTTCAACACTATGATTATGAGTGAAATAAACTTTTTTTTAACTCTTTTAAATAACTCTTGCTTTCTCTTGCTTCCTGGAACTTACAACTTCTTGTGTCATATGAGGAAACATGATTGTGACTCCAGTAAGGTTCCAACCTATGATTCCAAATTTGAGAGGCAGACACCTTAACCTCTAGGCCACTAATCTGCCCTTGAATAATTTAGCAGTAAAAGCATTAAATTTGTTATCCTTTGGTTAGTCAGTTTGAACAGTCACCACACATGCTTTTCTTTGATTATTTAGTTGGAGAAAGTATGTCTTAGTTTAATCTATTCTGTTTTGATTGTTATAAACATGATTAATAATATCTGACATATGTTGCGGTTTGGATGTGAATGTCCGTCCCGAGGGGAGCCGCCCATTGTGCGATAACGAGGCTTGCCTAGTTTCCACACCATGGGCGGGTTCCCGAGTGACGGATATTCCGATCTAAACCTCAAACATATATCTGTTATTTTTTCTTGCATTTTCTACCATATGCCATTATATTTAAACTCTTTACCTTAAAACAATTTTCCATTAAAAATTATGTCATTACACCGGTAAATATTTTCTTACTTCTGCATTATGAAATTATAACTTCATTCATAACAGTAAAATTATGTCATTCTAAGCATGCCATTGTACAGCACGTGACTCATCTGGCACCCCTATGCCAGATGAAATTTCAGGCATAGGTTTAGCAAACGGAAATGCCAGTCTGATATGCAAGAATATTATGTTCTGTCAAAATCAGATTGAGGAAATTTTAGCTCAGCTTTAAAAGGGTTGCTTTATATTTCATAACAATAATTGTATAATTTCAGCTGGCAGTATCATAGAATCAGCACAGGTTGTCGAGCTACCAATTGTAGACAGCTTGTCCCCACGTCCAGATTATCTCCCACTAGCAATACCAGATGACCTTGCTGATAGGTTACTACGTTTCCATGGTGACCCGTCTGCATGGTGGATTGGTCAGTTAGTGACATATCTTACTCGACCAAATGAAATGTTGAAGAATGATCTCACAGAAAGCAAAAAGAAGTTGGGATTTGAAAATCCTATTGTTGGGTAAAATATCAGTATATTATTCTTTTCCTTGATTTTCTTCTTTAATTGCTAATAATTGTTCATTCTAAAGCTTTTAATAATCTTACATAATAATTTTTAGACATATAGTTTTATAAGCTTGACTATAAGAAGAATGTTGGGAGAGCTATTTCATTCGCTCTTACGTCAGCGTCACTGTCACACATTGGTAAAGTTTTTGGCAAATTGATATGGTCAGAACTGCTGAAAGGATTGAGTTGAAACTTCACAAACTTATGGGAGAGCATAATAGAAGGAGGTTACTGAACAAGGCCCATAGCTGTTCAAGAATTTAAAAAAATTTGCCTTTTTTTAACTTAGAAAATTCTACATTATCCTGGCTCTATCTATCAATCACTGAAAATAGTCAAGCATGCTGGCCTCCTAACAGCTCTTGTTTTAAACATTATTCTGATAGTGCAACATTCTTTTCTTGATAAATTGCAATATTGTGCTATACACCTGTAACTGTAACATAATTTCATGGAAGGTAAGTTAACCATACACCGTTCACTTTGTGTTATACATTTGCTCTGTTTTGAATTTATACAATACTAAATCTACAATATCTAATTATAGAACATGATCAGCCTCTGAGAAAGTGAAAGATGGCTTGACTAGATCTATATATTATTGGTGTGTGTTTCAAAGAAAGATCCCTGTGTTGTTGTGTTGTCCAAAAAACTTTAATACAGGCCATTTCTTGAACAATTTTAAAGATACCAATATGAAACTTGGAATGCTGGCTTATCATAACAAGATTCATTTCTTAGACAAGGGTCATAATTCTGAAAGCTATATCTTTTGGCTTGTGCTTTTTTTAGCTCACCTAAGCATGCTCAGGGTGAGCTTTTAGGATCGTCGGTCGGCCGTTGTCCATTCACATTTAGTTGTTAACACTCTAGCGGTCACATTTTTGCCTCAATCATCATCAAACTTGGTCAGGATGCTTATCTAGTTGATAGCTCGGATGACTTCGAACATAGGTCATCTCGGATGAAAAACTAGGTCACAAGAGCTAAAAATAGAAAAACCTTGTTAACACTCTAGAGGTCACATTTTTGCCTCAATGATCATCAAACTTGGTCAGGATGCTTGTCTAGGTGATAGCTTGGATGAGTTCGAACATGGGTCATCTCGGATGAAAAACTAGGTCACCGGAGCTAAAAATAGAAAAACCTTGTTAACACTCTAGCGGTCACATTTTTGCCTTAAATCATCATCAAACTTGGTCAGGATGCTTGTCTAGGTGATAGCTCGGATGAGTTCGAACATGGGTCATCTCGGATGAAAAACTAGGTCACCGTAGCTAAAAATAGAAAAACCTTGTTAACACTCTAGCGGTCACATTTTTGCCTCAATCATCATCAAACTTGGTCAGGATGCTTGTCTAGGTGATAGCTTGGATGAGTTTGAACATGGGTCATCCTGGATGAAAAACTAGGTCACCAGAGCTAAAAATAGAAAACCCTTATTAACACTCTTGAATATGGGTCACCTGGGTAAAAAACTAGGTCACACTGCTCAAATATGGATAATCCTTGTTAACACTGTAGTGGTCACATTTTTGACTCACCTGTCATGAAACTTGGTCAGAATGCTTGTCTAGGTAATTGTTCGGATGAGTTTGATGGGTCAGGTGGGCGATCTAGGGCCATCTTGGCCCTCTTGTTTTAATTTTTAATTTTTTTTTGGTCAAAAGTGGGTATTTTAACAGATGAATGTTATCCCTAAGGTGCTCTTATTGGTTCCAGCATTGTAAGGAGTTGACTTAATAATTGTTTTTCATGGTTTATAACAGTTTTGTTATGCTCAAAATTATGTAAAATTGTAGTATTCACTTATAATATATTTTAAAGTATATAAGTCATAAAGTATATGGTTGGAGTACCATCATTAATGTTACCAACTTGGAATCACTTGGTACTCCCACTGCTGTAGATTCAAATAATGCTAGTGAAATTTCAATGTTGTATGGGATAAAACTTGGATAGTGGTTGTACCAAGGTGCCAGCACATGACTGAATGTGACATCCTTGGTTCATTATTTGTATAGATGTAATAACCTATGAAAAATATATATGGTCCATTTAAAGCATGTAATGAAACTGTTTGAAGCATGAAGTATAAATCTTATCTGATTGACAGGGTTCACATAAGAAGGACTGATAAAGTGGGAATGGAAGCACAGTTTCATAGTGTGGATGAATACATGACATATGTTAATGAATGGTTTGATATTTATGAAAGAAGACATCCGGGTGTTCAACGTAGAGTATATCTGGCATCAGACGACCCAAATGTACTAACTGAAGCTAAAAATAAGTGAGCCACTTGTTTTAGAATTGCTTAAATTTCTTGTAATTTATTTGTTGTATTTTTTCTTTTAACTAAATCTTGTAAGGATTCAAAAATGTTTTTTCTCATAATTTGAAATATTTTTTCTTAGGTTTGATTTATTACTTTTAATACATATCACATGGCATCAAGTGTTTCTTAATGATGCTTTTTCACGTATTATAGCAGAAAATAAATTCCATCAAAATCAATATCATATAAAATGTCTGATATATTGTGAGAGGAAGTAAAAAAAAAACGATGAACCAATTATGAGAATGTAAGACATTTTTGTATATTTATTAATTTTGTGAGGTGATTATACAAGAGAACATAGAGAATAAAGTAATTGCTTTCAATTAGATAATAATATGCAATCTCGTTAATTCATGAAGTTATGCTTAAAAGCTTTTACTGGAATTATATTTATTTTGATCTGAAACTTTAATTGCTTTTTTTAAAAGAAATTTGATAATGATAAAAAGTAGATTTTCCTATCAAGTGTAATGCTTTTACTAGGTGAATGTTAATGGTGTTACTTTAAATAATTATTTGTTAATGATTTATATTTCAGTTATCCGCAGTACAAGTTTGTTAGTGATAACGAAGTATCAAAGACAGCTGGGTTAAACAGTAGATATACAGACGCATCATTACGTGGGATTATTCTCGACACCCACATGCTCTCATTGTGTGATTATCTTGTCTGCACATTTTCATCTCAGGTATAATAGTTTGGTTTTGACTTTTCATAAATATTTATGTAAGGTTTTGACTTTACATAAATATTTATGTTATCATAAACTGTTAAAGTCAGTCAATAACAGAATAATGGGTATTTTACTGGTTTGTTATCCAGGAAAGCTGGTTAAGTGTTCCCATCACTGAAAAACTACTGAAAATGTATTCAAATAAACGTAAAAAACAGGCACATAAACAAATAAACCTTAAATATTTCATTTGTATAACCTGACGATCCTAGTTTTACAGTCATACTTTTTAATTTCTTAATATACATGCACATATAGTCAGTTAAATAACATTGATTCATTGAAAAATGAAGAAAAAATGTTTATAATATAGACAGATGTACAATTTTTATCTTGGTTCTGCCATATGTGGCAGTGTCTAATTTCTTTATCCACTACTTACCTTTTTTGCACTTTCCATACTTTTTGTTGGTTTAACTGAAGTGCTTGTTTTTCGATATTTAAAAAAGATCAAAGATATCATAACAAATTGTTTAGCAGTAAGGTAAACAGGTAACACAAGGTTTAACAAATATAGGATTTCCTTATTTCACACCAGCTTGACTTGTTTGGCTATTTGTAAAACAAAGAAGGTATTTGTTTGTTTTAGACATATAATTATGCAGTATACCTCTCAGTTTATGGAAATGGATAAACTATCCTTTAAAGTACACATAGAAATGAGAAACTAACAATTTTTTGGCCCTTTTAAACAAATGAATGATGTATAACGTGTGGTTATTAAAAATCCTGTAATTTCAGTAATAATATCTGGAAAAAAGTGATTCCTTGGAAGCATTAGAAACAGCAAAATTACATGAAAATTGCAGACCCGGTTTGATTTAGTTCTGTACATGAGGGATAATGAAAAAGTGCAACAGCCCTCATGTCCCTTAACACTGGTTTGAGCGGTACTCAATTCTCAACACTTAAAAGTGCTGGACTCAATGATTCCGAAGGACCAGAAAAATATAACAACACTGAAATGAAGTACAGGACAACTTTTTAAGGCTGCCACACAGCAATTGACACCTGCTGTTGTGATGTATAAATATCGGAAAAACTCTTACCACACTTTACAGATGTTGGTGGTTCTACTTGGGTGCCCATTAGCACATGACATAATTTAAGGAAGGGCATCTGAGGTCTCCCACCACCAGTAAACCTGGAAAGTCGTCACACGATCTAAACTGTGTTGGTTTGACTTAAAACCCAACCAAAAAAAAAAAAAAATGAAAATAACACTACATGCATTTATTTCGAATTTCCAGTCATCATTTTCAGGGATTTTTTTCAAAATGTAGTAAAGTGTAGAGTAATGTTAATTTACTGGTATATTGATATATTTGTAGGTGTGTCGTGTTGGATATGAGTTGATGCAGCCACTTCATGGTGACGCCTCACAGTGGTTCAAATCTCTAGATGATATTTATTATTTTGGTGGTCAGAACGGTCATCAGTGGGAGGCTGTTGTTAGTCATACACCGAAAAACAAAGACGAAATTTACCTGAAAGTAGGTGACTTGGTTGGAATAGCCGGCAACCATTGGGATGGCTATTCCAAGGGAAAACTTGCCACTTCACATAAATCTGGGTTATTTCCATCATATAAAACAATCAATAAGATTGAAAGAGTGAAAATGCCTACATACCCGGAAGTAATAGAATTATGATAGTTTCACTCTGTATTTTGGGAGTGATGTTTTAAAAATATCAAAATTTGTGATATTATTGTATGGTATTTTTTGGAGGAATGATTTTGTAAATCATTGCCTCACTGTAGAAATAATAGCATATTTGAGCCGCGTCATGACAAAACCAACATAATGTGTTTGCGACCAGCATGGATCCAGAGCAGCCTGCGCATCCGCGCAGTCTGATCAGGATCCATGCTGTTCGCTTACAAACCCTATAACATGTAGAGAAACTGATAGCGAACAGCATGGATCCTGATCAGACTGTGCGGATGTGCAGGCTGGTCTGGATCCATGCTGGTCGCGAACCCATTATGTTGGTTTTGTCGTGACGCTGCTCATTTGTTGTCTATTTTTTCTTAAGCTTTTTTTTAACAAAGTAATAAATCAGCTTGTAGTCCTAAGTTGTAATATATGTGTTTAACCTTTTATAATTCCCAAATTCAAATTAAGAAAAAAAAATCTCCAAAGTGTCATTGCTAGTCTTAACAATATTTTGTTTTTAACAATTCTTTTTTCATCTGAAACATATATAATGTAGAGATTAGCAAAATCCTGAAGTAAGCAAAATAACTTGCCTGTTTTAAAGATAATTTCATAGAAACATTGTATTAATAATATCCTGCAAAATTTTTAAGATTGTGATGATTTTTGTAAAGGCTGGGTATACTAAATGTTTTGCAACCATTTATGATGGTAAAATTTGCCTATGTTTTAACAGGTTATACACAGCAAATATAATCAGGTAAACACTATAGGACCACTGTTGTGATACATGTACTAAGAAGGAAAACTTTTAAACTATTAAGGTTTTTTTATTTCATGAACATTAAAAAGTATGCATATTCTGATTGATGGGTATAATTATATTTTACATGTTCTTGTCAGTATGATTTGTTCACATGAAATATGTGAATATTTTATTAACTTGAAATCCATGGAAAAATTTGTGATTTTTGTATCCCTCTTGGTATGCAACAAAAATAAAAGTTCAATTTTTTGTTGAAGTTTTTTTCTTATTTCAGTAAAGGAAATCCTATTTTTTTTAATGAACTAATATGTCTATCTGCCGAGTGAAATCCATTTGTTTATTTTCAATGAAAGTAACATTATATATCAGCTATGTATTATATAAATTATGGACGCAATATTATATAAAAGTTCCCATTTATAAAAAGAGACAAAACAAAAGATTTATTTTAGTCTTGAGTGAAAGACCTTTTATGTCTTTAAACTGTGTAAAAACAGCAAATTATTTTGTTACAGATTTTTGTTACATTTTTTGATTTATTAGATGACATTATAGAAATGATAAAGTGCCAAATCATGGGTCACAAAAATTTGTACATTTGTTAATTTTGTGTTAATGTATTTATTGAGTGTATTTTAGTTGAAACTTTGTTTTTAAGTTGACTCAGAATACACCTATGACAGCGAAATAATTGTCTCATGTTTACTGACTTTAAATTGTAAAATATTGATATGACTGCAGTTATTAATTATAAAGATTTTTGACAGGTTATATGGCCATATATAAATGATTGTTTGAAAATATACAAGAGCCACTAGGCATGGGTTATATTGCAAACTGCCGTTTATATAATGCCATATAACCTGTCACAAATATTTAGAACCAATCATATAAAACAGCAAGAATCTTTTTTAGAAAAAAAAGTGAGATTTGAATCATTTCATCATAAATTGACTGCAGTTGTGTGTATGAATCTATATAAACATCATGCTTATCCAATGAAAAGCGATGTTACAAACTTGCTGTATTATAAAAAAATATTTGACCAGTGAACTGTGGTATGTCTTACATTGACTTATCCGGCTTTGGAAGTTTGGAACTGTTGATTATCAATTTCGGGTATTTCATATGTCATGAAAATTTAGACAACCAACAGTTAGAGCCTGGATGGACAGCACATATGTGTAGGCTGGCCTGGCTGTGTACTAATGACAAATTAGGACAGTCACTTTCTAGTCCAGAAGGTTATAGATTAATTAACACTTCAGTTTAAAAGTGCTGAAAATCATGTGGTCTAAAATTGTTTTTCTACCTGGAAAATGGAGAAGATAATGCAATACGATATATTTAACAGAAGATGCTAGATATATTTATACTTTGCTTTTTTTCTGGGGTACATGTTTTTAATTTTCTGTTATCTACTTTAACTTGTTTTTTTTTTAAGTTTTAATTCTTTTCATTTACTGATTGTTTTTAAAAATAATCAGGTTAATTAGAGGACTAGAAAAGATAGGGTGGTGGTGAATTTACTATTTGAGTTAATCAATCATGCCAAATACATTGCAATAAATACATGGAAAAACTGACAAATAAGAATATCAATACTTTTATTCTTTTGTGTGTATTTTGGTCTGAATTTTCTACTTTTAAGTTCTTAAAAAAATAGCAATTTTTATAACATGGTTCTCTGTACAAAGTAGGAAGTAGTATGTTTTAGAAAAAAAAACTATTTTGGTCACATGCTTTTCTATACTGATAAGGCAATAGTATATTATAGAAAAAAAACAAACTTATTCAGGTCACTTGCTTTTCTATACTGGTTAGGTAGTATGTGATTTAGAATATAACTTATTCAGGTCACATGCTTTCCTATACTGGTCAGGTAGTATGTGATTTAGAAAATGACTTATTCCAGTCACATGCTTTCCTGTACTGTTAAGGAAGTATGTGATTTAGAAAAATTACTTCGGTCACATGCTTTTCTATACTGTTAAGGTAGTATGTGATTTAGAAAATAACTTATTCTGGTCACATGCTTTTCTATACTGGTTAGGTAGTATGTGATTTAGAACATAACTTATTCTGGTCACATGCTTTTCTATACTGGTCAGGAAGTATGTGATTTAGTAAATAACTTTTTCCGGTCACATGCTTTTCTATACTGTTAAGGTAGTATGTGATTTTGAAAATAACCTACTCTGGTCACATGCTTACCTATACTGTGAAAGCAATATTATATTATATAGATATGTTTTAAAATGATTCATGATTATATGTTTACATATCAGATTGTTCATGCTAGAACATAGTTTGATGAATCACACAAATCATGTATGCTTGTATCTATGTTAGAATAAGTCCTTCATTAAACAACTATCTACAGCTGTAGTGATGTTCTTTTTTTACAAAAACCATCACTGATAATTTTTTGGTCAATTTTGAAGAAATTTGTAAGATATTTGTCAATATAATTTGTATATTTTTCTTGTAATGTAAAGGAAGCATACATTAATCTAGGCATGTATTTTATACTGTTAACAGCTTAAACTTTTTATCACATTTTGAGAAACGCTTTGTTTTTATTATAGTGAGGGATGTTCATTTCAAGTATTTTAGGACCAGTATTTTGTTATTTAGTGCCATTCTGTTTATTTTGTAAACCTGTTTTTGTGCTTTTATGTTATAATGTAAACTTGTCATTTTGCTTTTGTATTTTATATATTGCAATAGTATTGTGAAAGTTATATGTTTTGTTGTTATGATCTTTTAATATCAACATAATTGTTCTTACAAGAAATACGCAGCTTTATTTTATTGTCTACAAGTCAAAGTTTTTGACAATTAGATAGATGAGCTAGTGACATTGAATAATTTAGTTATGATTGATTTTTGATGTGTTTTATTTTAAATCATGAAATGCTTACTTATGCTGTTATCTACATTAACTATTTAAAGCTTTAATGGACATAGTAATATCATATTTTATCTAGGTTTTACTTTGCTTGCAGTTCTATCAATATTAATTAGTTTATGATGACACTTATATGTTTTATAACATCTTTAACTTGCAAATGCTTCTTGCCATTTTTTTGCGTAATTATTTTTACACTACTGAACTGTTTGGTGTACTAAAGAAAATTTTTTATAATGTACAAGACATTTTTACTGTTTTAGAAATCTTACAGTACTAGAATTCTTGATTATATGTACAGTAAGCCTAATGGTATTTAATTTACATATTTCAACAAAAGACTTGAACATTTAGTGTTATTATTACCGTATGTCTGTTGGATTAAGACGAGACTTTGTCGCCAGTATAAAGTCTGACTAACTGGTACATAAGTCTGACCAGACTCTATACTGTTGGTATCTCAAATGGAAAAACATTATGCCCATCCAAGAGTGTAGAGTCCGTGAACATGTGAAAGTCAAAACATGTTAAATTTTGTCATAATTCCTTTCAATTTTATAATTTACTTTGCATGAATGATAAATAACTCATGTGGCTCAATGAAATTGCTGAAAATATCCATTTGAATTTAACTGTAATGTTTGATTTATTAAAAGAATGGGGCAGTCTTTTTATATTTTACGCAAATTTATATTTTACTCTAAACATTTTCCAATATCAAGCAGTAACCAATCACCATTATAATAGTCAGTCTTTTGAAATATATAGTGAATTCAGCTTAATTACACAATAAAAAAAAAGAGCATAATGTCACTGAAATATTAATGTTATAAAATTGAATTCCTTATAAGTTAATAACTGATTGTAGCAGAGTTGTGAGGACAGTTTGATTTGATTTCTTCAGCCTTGCATACATTATAGTTTGATGTCATAAATGTAACCAGACAGTTGCTCAAATTTGGAAATTTAGTATTGAGGTATGTCACAAATTTGTTATAAAATGAGCGGAACACCAACATAATGCTTTACGTCAGAGGTCTATCAGACTGGCAGGTGTCGATCGCTGTACAAAGACTATTGTTGTCATGTGCTCAATGTATTTGTATCATGTGATGTTAAGCTCTCAAAACTTGCCACTAGTCACTTACAATATTATTACATGTATTAACAATTGTAGAATATATACCATATGTATTTCTCTTTTTCTGACAATGTAATATAGTATTAATGTAATATTCAATTTTACAATTGTTACATGATATAACCGGACAATTAGAAACTAGTTTTATGATATTTATTATAGAAGAAGTGTTACTAACAACATATGATATGCTAATACCACCTGAATTATTGTAATGGATTTACCCTACTTTGAAATTGGAAAAGTCCACTTGGAAATTAAGAGATATCAGTATCAAAATAAAAAAGTTTGAGTCACTAACAGTATTGAGTCTAGTTTATGGACTGCACAAATGTGCTAGGCTCTTTACTAGCGGCAATAGCTAGTCACCTTCAGTTAGCAGGTTCTGGTTTAAAGGAGGTAAAAAAGTAATAAAAAAACATAAAATTTGAATTTCTAACATAGATCAGATGAGGCACTTAGCAAAAGATTTTTAAGAAATAGACTCAGAAACTAATTAAAAAATTGTATTTTTGTGCTATTTTAAACCCAATTAGAGTGACAAAAGTTTCAATTTTGTGCTTTTTTTCACAATTAGAATATTCTGAAGAAAAAAAAACAAACATAGTGAGCAAGTACTGATCTGTAATCATGCAAGTAAGTTATTGGTCAAGACCTACATCAAATGGGACATAATCTTGGATTATTCCAGTCCCTTCATAAGAAAAAATCTGAGTGGAGTCCCTTAGGTAGTTCATTATCTTAAAGAAAGCAGCATTCTTATATTGCAACTATCAATGTTTTTTGTTTGTAGATCATAGTAATCTTATATTAATACTAAAACCTTGTGCCATTCTCTACAACTGATACCTCACTCCTGCATTTCTTCACTTTTTGTTTCTTGATGTCTATAAAATTTTATTTCAAGCCAAATTAGCATAACTTTAATATAGATATAAGTCTTGTGTTTTTTTAAAACACAAGTTTTACTAGTATTTAATTGTAACAATTATGATAATCTAAATTGAATTATACAGACTAAATGGAAATCTATTAAAGTAGCTATTTTCATGTAAAAGCTATTTGATGAACTGTAGATAAATCATAATGAAGGGATATACTTTATTGATACCTACATTGCTGACTGGTTAATGTTGCTGATTTCAAACCACTTGCCCGTCACCACTGTAAACTTAAATCCCACCAAGGACTATAAATTCTTTTATTTGAGGATGCTATTCCAGCTAGCCTATAGAAGGGTGGTGGTCTTTACCTAGGTGCTAGCTTGAGATTGAAATAATGTATGGAGAGGTTTTCCTTCACTAATGTCAGTGTGATTTCAAACCTTACCAAAATTTAAACGTAGATAAATAATGGGTATGCTTGTAATGTTTCACAAACTTGAGCTTAGATTTATATACCGGTAGAAAGAATGATGTCAGGTAGTTACTGTTGTATCTAGTCAAATTGTTCAGTCTTATTGTATCAATCATATACTTGCCACACACACAGGACAGATAATGATCTGTTTATTCCAAATTGACCTCAATATTTTGCATTGGTATTTTTACATTCATATTTGAATAACATTTAGATTATGTAATGTTCTATATACATGTTGTCAAGTTTTGCCTTTTTCTAATATTGTCTCATTATTTTCCATTTTTTCTTTTTTTTTCTTCTGCTTAATGATCATCTTTAGCTAGATGAAACATATTCGTTGATTGAATTTCTTTTCACCTGCAAAGTTGTAGTATTATGAGTGCTGGTTATTCCAGTATGGACTCTCCTATTATCTACCTTTTATCTGCTGTATTTATCTCCCTGTAATTATTTAAGTGAGTTAAGTAGGCAGATAATTGACTGTTATTGTTTTTTATGCACACTTTTACAAGTAAAATACACCTTGTCTTTTTGAAAAAAAAAAGGATGTTTTATTTCTTGATTATTATACAATAAGAAATAAACCTCAATTGCTAGCATCATTCAGATAGACTGACTAATGTATATTCTAGGTCACTCTGTCAGAAGTCATAAATTTAGGTAAAATATTTTAGCTCTTAAATTTGTAAGTTTGCTGTCAGCTTCTGAAATGGTGCATGTGTTTTTAGGACTATTTAGATTGTTTGATGATTTACATCCTGATTGAGAGTTAAGAATTTCAATTCAACATGTCATTATCATTTTTCATTTTTACAGTTACATGTAGTAAGGCATATACCTGTATATCATCTTTTCATTATATCCTTCGCTTTTTTGTTCACTTATGTCTTAAAAACTAGTTCATATATATCTACAATTAGAAAATCAGCTAGAAAACCATGTTCTTTGCAGTTTAAGAAAACCTTGTAAAAAAATAAATATACATGTAGCTCTACGCATGAAAGCCAGGTTCAGTCACTATGCAAAGACCTAAACCTATAAACTTATGCCATGAAAATGAAGTGTTCTTGTTACATGTTTAAACTGTACTTTAATGTACAAATAAGGGAAAGAGAAAATTAAAAAGTTTCTTAATTATTGGTGAGGGAATGCTGCCTTGAATATATTATAAAGTATACACATACATGAATGAGTGAATTATTAATAATTGGTGACTGACTGATTTCTTATGAAAATTATGTGATTAAATTATTCTGTAATACTAGTCATAATTAAAGCTTTAATAATTATACATAATTTATTGAGATATATTGTTAAATCAAAATGATCTTTTTTTCCATATAATATGTTTACATGAATGTGTTAAAACAGCAGAGTTCATACACTAGAATTATATACATGTGTAATGATTTATGTGTGTAGTATAGTCATATATGTCATATGTATAGTGTGTCAGGATTATTGTGTTTACAAATGTGTAAAAAAAAAATTGAGTTCATTTTTGTTGTATCCATCGCCTTAAAATGGCATGAAATTGCAGAAGAGTGAAATATTCTTCTGTGAATAAAATAAAAATATTTTGGTTATTTGTTAACCAACATAGGTATTGTTCCACTTAATTGAATGTTAAATGTATGGGTTAATTGTTTGAGAGGCAAAAATGAAATAAATTTTTCTTTGCACTTGTGGAAGGATTTTTAAGTTTATGTCAATAACCAATTAGATATAGGTTAATATTGAGGATTTCCAAATCACAACTGAATTTACATGTCACAAAAAATGTTCTTATTGTAATTTTGATTTTGTCAATTTCTTTAATTTGTTATATAGATTATGAATTTTGAAGAGAATGTTTGAAGATAGCATCTCATTTCTTAAATTTTTTAGATTATCTGGGACAAAAAAGATTGTATATTGAACAGGATGACTTCAAGTTGTGATATGAATATTTAGTAGAACGAGCATCAAAACATTGGGCTGTCTGATTTGAACAAGGGTGCATAGCCCCCCCCCCCCCCAAAGTAAAAATCAGATTTGTCAAGTGTGTTGATTTTCTTTCTCTTTTGTATCATGAAAAAATTACGCTAAATTCTTGAGGTATTGGTGCTTTAAATTTTTTGGGCATAAGTTCACCAAATTTGTATTGGTATCAATACACTATGTCTAGGGAAATGGTATTTAGTTAAAAAAATCTAGAATAATGACTTTTTCTTGTATATGATCATTTCATTGACAATGTTTAGGGAGTGGTTACTTATTACACAGTTTTATTTTGGATGAACCTTTGATTTCTTACTTACTTTCACTGAACTTACAACAAAGTTCTAACAGCTGAGATAGCTACATTTTTCTTTAGCTGAGTTAACTACATTTTTCTTCATTCATTGTGGTTTTCTACTGAAATTGTCTAATATAAGGGGTGTTAAACTTATTTTTGGCTCAAAAGATGTCAACTTATTTAAATTTTTTTCCAATATTATTTTTTGTTTTTGTTTTTACTTTAAAAAAGGTTTATTTTGAGTGAATTTTGCAGTGGTTTTAGAATTTTATTTGCTAGATTTTCTTTACATTCAGGTGATGTTTGTTGCACTGTCTCAGCACATAGATTATTGTTGAACATATGTTATTTTAGAAATATACAATATAATAATGTTGATATAAACATTGATGTACTGGACCTAAAGGTGGATAATAAATTGAAATTAGCAAATAATTGAGATCTTTGACATAATTATACATTTGAACACAGGGAATCTTTGTTATTAGAAATCCTAAAACTCTTTCATTGTTTTTGATGTATATTATGTGCTATACATCGACTCTTACATTGATGTCTTGTATTTTAAAGCAATTTTTGAAAGTTTTATGAATCACTTTTGTCATATATCATCGGGGCGTGAATGTTGATGTTTTTTACCATGATTACTGGCGAGTCAAAATAATGAAATGTTTTAGCAAGTATTGTAATATATATTTTGGGGAGAATTGAAATAAATGCAGCAAGTTTGTTGCAAATCTACAAGACTTGTTTTCAATTTTGTAACCCCCTTTCCCAACATCCCCCCCCCCCAAAAAAAACAAAAAAAAAACAAGAAACAAAAAAAACTACAATGATGAATAATCTTTTGTATCTTTGCTGTTCCTTGTTTCAAAACAAAGTGGTTAATTGAGGTATCATACCACTTGCGTTTCACTGATATGTGAGTTCAAAGTTCACATAGGTGTTTGAATTATTTCATTGATAGCTTGTGGTTGTACTCAGTAATCCAAGGAGACATCTTAAGGTTTTGCTAAGCAAAAGGTAAGTAAAGTTTAAAAGTCAATATTTTACCTTATTTATGTATGATCTCAGAAAACCATAAAAGGTAGTATAGCATGGTGTGCAGATGTTTGTAATCTGGGTCTTTCAGATCGATTTCTATTTGAAAGACCCTATACATGAAGTTGGTAAATGATCACAGCCAGGTTGTTGTATATGTGAGACAGCATTTGTCTGCATATGAAACAAAAGGAATCTGAACATTAAAGAAAAATATATGAAAAAAAGTATGCTTCAAAAATATTTTTGATATATAGTACCTTAGAAGCCACCTCCTTAGTGGGTACCATCATACTAGTCCGCCCGCCCTGTCCTGCGACCATACTAATGTTGCTTAATTTAAAAAAAAAAACTATATACATGTTTGCAAAAGATGGTGATTTTTTATATTATGTATCTTTTAAATAAAAGATACAAGAAAATTGGAGAGTAGGAAAGGAAAATTTGAGGATGTTTCAAGATTTTGATTAAGAATGACTTTTTGTATTGCCCATAGTCCAACTTGATTTAGTACCATGTAGCCTATATAATTTTCACATGGGGTTCATTAATCTTTTAGAAAAAGTAAAAAAACAAAACATAAATTATCTTTTTTTTTCTTTTTCTTAAAGACAAAGATCTGTATAACTTGTTCCTTTTGATCATTAAAGTAACTTAATTTTAACCGGTGTGCGGGGTTTGATTCCTGGTATGTTAATATTTGTGAACGAAACGTCTTGCAAGCTATAAAGACGAAATAAATTGGGGACGAACTATTCAAGCGCTTCTAAGATATTGATGATAAGCAAATCAAAATGGCGGGAGAAGAGGAGGAAATCGCGACACAAAACGAAGAAAGTCAGATACTTGAAGAAAATACACCAAATGATGCTGGAGATAATATTGCTCCTGACAGATTATTGAAATTGCCCCTCTCTCGTGTAAAAAGCATTATGAAAAGTGATCCCGATGTAACATTAGCTAGTCAAGATGCAGTTGTAGCGTTGGCCAAAGCCACCGAACTTTTTATTCAATTAATTTCTAAAGACGCATCTGGTAGTACCATGCAAGGAAAACGAAAAACGTTGCAAAGAAAGGACTTAGATAATGTGATGGACAGAAGAGATTGTTACTTATTCCTTGATGGAGCAATTGATTGAATAAATTTATCATCTGGTAAACAGGTAAATAATTTGATAGGAAGTGGCTAGCGGTACGGGCCTGTATGGCTAGCCAAAAGTTCTAGCCGTACGTGAGTCACGTACGACTAGCCAGGACTCACCGTATTGTCTAGCCGTAAGGCACTTTTCAAAATTATATGGAAGTCGAACATGCATATGTTATTTTGTGCCTCATAGTTATGATTTGGTAGTAATAGAATGCGAAATGGACTCCATTTCGCGAAATGAACTTTTCGACTACGAAATGGACATTTTTTTCTTAAATTTTGGTTTAAGTGTACTATTTAATATCATTTTTAATAACGAACAAGTGATATATGACATAAAATTACTATTTAAACAATTTTGGTAATAAATTTTTCATTATTTATGCTTGTATATTTGAAAATAATCGTATAATAATGCCACATAGTTCAGTGTTTTATACATGTATGGACTTTCAAATAGAAAGATTCTTTTATATCATATGTTTAACCTGGGACAAAAATATTTTTGTCGTCCCAGATTAAACGTACGTGAATAGAAAAGATACCCTTTTTGACATGTCAGTTGCACCATAATTTGTAAAGCAAATGTCCATTCCGTAAGCGAAAACTCCATTTCGTGGCCGAAAACTCCATTTCGTAGAGGCCAGATTATTTTCAGAAATATGACTATAAAATAAGAAAATAGTAATATTAATTGGTTCAATCTGTAGTTTTATGTCATATGTTAAACATAAATAAATAAAAATAATGTTACTCATCACGGTTAAACAAATAATTGTCCATTTCGTAGGCGGTAAGTTCATTTCGCGAAATGGAGTCCATTTCGCATTCTATTACAACCCGTTATGATTTGTTGTTTTATTTGTATGAAAGATGATTGTTAATTAAGCACATGGATCGAATAAATAATGATCAGAGTGGAATAAATAAAAAGAACATTGAAAAAAAAAACAGTGAAAAGCAAAAATAATTGTATAATTTTCAAATACAGTAGATAAATATTGAACATACATTTAAAAGCACAATCAATTCATTAGCCTTTATCAAAGCTTACCCAGGGACTGACAATAGAATTTAAAAATGCGTTTCACGGAACATGCAAACTTAAGCTTCTATACCGTCGGTAATTGACGCAATTATCAGAGCCCAACAAAATAATATTTCGTGTTTTTTTTTGTTTCATTTTAAAGGTGTCGAAAATTAAACTTAATGAAACAAAAAAGGATTATCATCAAAATTTTGTAAACTATTTCAATTGCTGTTATTTAACTGCGACCAAAAGCTATTTTTTCTCAACGTCTTGAGATGACAAAGATCGATATTCGTACTTTTTTTACTGTAGCCAACAAGGCGATTAAAATCATTAATCTCTAAAAAGTAAACATACGAAGACAATTGACCTTTTCGAAAACCTAGCTAAACCCCGTTTTCCGGTACGTTACAGATTGAGCTCTGGGGAATTGCACATAATGAAGTACATAACACTCATATAAGATATTTCTGTTTTTCTATCATTATTTTACCGTTTAAGGTGGAAAAACTGGATATATTTGAAAATGATCAATGTTCCTTTAATATCTATTGCAAATTTTTCAAAAAATAAATTGTTTATAATGAAAATCAATAAAATTTAAACAGACGTAGTGGAATCTTCCGTAATAAATAAAGTCAGTGATTTTCTTACATATATAACAGACTCCGAAAAAAGGGCCTCTTCCCAATTGAAATTTTCTTTAAAATCATGCAGTTTTCCCAAACATCTGAACTGAAACATGCTTTTTTCTTCCCAAATTAGCAATTTTAGCGATAATTTTTCCCAAAATCAAGAGGCTAAGGCTTCTTCCCAATTAAGCGAGAAAAATCACTGAAAGTTATTTTCTGCGTAAACTTGTGTATTTACTTTATTTTTTGTATGGAATTATTCATACAATGATATTTAATTATTTTCTTATAAAGAAATAATTGTGTTATTTCAATTTAATTTTAAAAAAAGGCCGAAAACATCGAGTTAGCTATTACACTCCATTAGGTGAATTCCCCAGAGCTATGTACAGAAGGTACCGGAAAATGGCGTTAAGCCAGGATTTCGAATTCGTGAATTGCTGTTTCTTGGTTAAAGTCCTCGCTCAAAGTCATAAAAAAACATATACATTTTCGACTTCCATATAATTTTGAAAATGCCGTACGGCTAGCCAATACAGTGTGTCCTTGCTAGTCGTACGTGACTCACGTACGGCTAGAACTTTTGGCTAGCCGTACAGGCCACTTCCAATTTGATAACTGTCCAGTCTTATCATTTATTGTAAAAAATAGCATAAAATAATCTGAATTCTTTAAGTTGATCATCGAGAATAAAATAACTATCCAGCACCTGTTTACAATACATATACCATTTTATACCTTACAAGGCACCTAATTTGCCAAAAGTTATCTCCATGCAGTCAACATTTTGTCCGCAGTAGTTCAAATTAGACATTTTTATATATGAAAACGTAGAGCAAATAGATATATCTTTTAATCACTATTGACAACATTTAGTTTTTTTCCGTAATGTGTGATTAAATTCCATCAATAAAGTTTCAAAATTGAAAAATTGACCCCCAAAGTGCTTTTAATTTAAAGTTGATTCTGCATTGTCAGCCATGTTTGTTTTTCGCTGAACAGTTCCAAAGTGAAAGTAGGCAAAAATTCATTTAACAACAAAGCTCACAATGTTAAATGATGAACAATTTGCAAATACACTTTCAGGTCTATGTTTTAAGGACTAATATATACAAAAATAAAAATGATAACAATAAGAATATTAACCTTGAATGTGCAAAATTTCTGAAGACCAAGTACAATCTTTTTATGCACATTTCATGAATGGCAAAAGCCAGCTAAAAGTCTATCATGATGCAGTATTTATTGTCTTCCATTCGGTGATTGTAAAACAACCATATATTCCATGGACATTCAAAAAGTTGTATTTCATGAGTGGATGCCTTTCCTATTAATTATTTCCCATGCAATATTTAGCAATATATTTTTTTTTTTAACTTTAAATTTCTTTTTATTGTTAAACTTCATAATAATGACAATAACAAAATTTATCAACTTTTTGGCTTCCAGCCAATGCATGATCAGATTTGGATTAAATGTTGAAACAAATAAATCACATAAAGTTGCAATAAGGGTTTTAAATATATATAGCGTGTCCAGACCAATTTGCATTTTCGTGTCACTACAAATGCAATTTAGGCTTCACATTCTGTTTTCTGTAAACATTATTGTCACCATTAGGTCATTCATAAGCTAGTAAAAAATATTTGATTCCCTTTTTAACATGTTTGAAGAAAAAATATGGTTCTGACAAAATTTAGTAAATATGCACATACATGGTACAAATTGAATATGTCTTATGATTAATATATACCCTGTAAATATTCATTGACATCTATATTACCGTAAATGCTTAAATCTTGTATCCGTTAATACAGTTTGATGTACAAAGTAAACACATTTACCTATAAAGATGAATATTTTTATAGGCATTAAATAATATAAGAAAAGTTAATTTAAAATATGGACAAAAAAAACAAGACACAAAAATTAACACGCACCCAAAGTGAATGGATATTTTGTTTATAAATGCACATTTTGATAAAATTAAAAATTATTTATAGTTTATTTTTAAAACAAATGAGATGTAAGAACATAATAATACTATTTGAACTTTTACTTTTTCAGGTGAATAGAAGAATAAATAATACTGATGACCAACTGATAGTGACTATGTCAATATGTGCAAGGATGTTTTAGTGCCTTATGGATCAGATGTTTTTATGGTGCAACTAAACATAGTTTCTGAGTGACTATATGTTTTCTCTTGATTTTAAAGACAGATTGAAATAAAAATCTTTTTTGGATGCTGTTGAAGAACTGAGATATTTATTCTAGTTTAAAACACATCAGACTTTTATGCTTGACAATAAACAGATAGATGATAATCTTGTTTAAGAACTAGACTTTTAAATATTTTAGATGAAGGATCCACATGTATTTATGCATTCATTGATATAAAATTTTAAAAAGTGACTGTTTGAAATTATTGTGAACTTAATCATGTTTAAGGGTTGATATCAGTCAAGCCTTCAAAGGAGCAGAAAAGTATTGTAAATTTGTAATACCTGGTACAAGGATTTTCATAACATAATTGTGAATAAAAATAAAATAGATTTAAGTGTGTTTTTATTCAGTTTTAAAATATTTTAAAATTTTGATAATGAGATCTAATTAATAAACATAGTGTCAGATTCTTGTCGTTTTGACTGATCTGACTTTAAATTTGTTGTTGTTTTTGTGACTGCTTATGTATATGTCAATGATTTTTTGTCAGCATTACAAGTGAAAGTGATTTTTTGTGATTGCATGATGTCCTACATTACCCCTACACATGTGTCATATTTATGTTACATTTACTTGTATAGAATACTAGCATTTAGAATCTACAGTGACATGACTTAGTTAATTAAAAAAAAAAGAAAGAATTGACATGTTAATTGTTTTTTTGTACAAAATTATATAATTTAAATGATATAAATCATGTCATTTGGCCCATAGTGTGTGTCGCTGGGTTATATGTGTAAATTTAGGAAATCATATGTAAAAAGAATCTCTTGTCTGAAAATAGATGGTCATGTGCAGAGATACAGATGCACATATCATTGCCTTGTTTGCCTGTATAAAAGTAATAATGAAATAATGCCCTTCAGATCTAAATTGGCTGTACAAAAGGGTTACCTTTGTCACATTGATTGGTATAAGAAAGTAAAATCCTCTCAACAAAAACTACACTGCAGAAATAGATGTTTGGTATAAACATTAATCTTTTGGTCATAATATTATATAAAAGTTATACATAACAATTAATCATATAAATAATTCCATATTGATTAGAATTAGTTGTGCAGATCTGAGAGCAATTTGTTTTTTGTGTCGCCTCAACGGAGTAGTGGCGACATATAGGGATCACTT